AATAAAGTCATAAAGATTTTTTCGTTGTTGTTGAAGAAACAGGTTCTTTAGGTCAAAAGAGGAAATGCACTCTGGCTTCTGTTTCCTCTTGTGTAGTCTTTTTCAAGCTCTTGGCAAAAGAGCCCCTTTAGTAAGGAATAATGATGGTTGCTGGTCAGTATCCATCCATCCATCCATTCAATAACGTTTAACAAACATTTGCTGCCCTACCATGAGCTAGGCATATTCTCAGCAGCAAGGATGCAGCAGTGAATAGGAAAGATATTGGCCCTGCCTTCCTGCAGCTTGCTTCTAAAGGAGCAAATAGACAATAAAGAGCTATGGCAGGGCTGTGACTTCTATTCAACTCTCCTTCTCTGTCTCCTTCTTCTCCTTTTGAAATGGGAGACATAAAGTTTCAGAAGCCAGCTTATAAAACCACTTTGCCCCCGTCTCCCCCCATGACGATTAGCCAAGACTAGAGCCTAAGATGGGAAGGAGGAAAGACAGAAGAGCTGAAAGGACAGGGAGGTGGGGCTGCTGACGTGAGGCAGGCAGAGTCTTCAAGGAGAGAGGGAAGGATGATCTTCCGTATGGAGACAGCAGCAGAGGAGAAGTTGTTTTCAAGCATAGACCCTCCATCCCCAACCCTGTGACCAGCACCTGTGGACAACAGTTCTAGATGCTCGGTGAGACTGTGAGGCCCTGAGTGGGGTGGGGGTGTAGAGGAAACCTCCTCATCCCTGATCAAAGCATCTTGGAACAGAGCCTGTTAGGAATTTTTCTAGAAACCAGATCCCAGTGGACCAGGCCACAGCCATTGTCACATAACGAATTCACATAACAGTTACTGGGGACAGATGTGACGCACGCTTTCTGAAGCCAGACCTGTATGGAAAGGTTTGTGAAGGTAACAGCACCCTTGTGCTATGTCAGATTTCTGAATCCAGACTCCTTATCTCCTCCAAGTGAAGTTTTCACCGCTTTAAGGTAGCTTCTGCTTTGAAAGAAGAATCATGTGGCATATCTTGTGTTCCCTTTTCATCTTCTTGGTGCTCCTTAGCTTCCAGTCTTCTTAGCATCATTATTCACTTACTTGCTGATGTTGTCCGCTGAACCCTAGACTTTGCACTGACTTTGGTATTTCGATGGGGGATGATAATCTGGGTTTGAACAATTGGTGTTTGATGTCTTCGATACCAATAGATCTCATCTTGAAGGCACCACATGGCTCCAAGTTTCAGTTAAGAAAAAAGTGAAAATACTTTAGAAAATGAAATTGAAGCTTCCACTGGGTTACTGACTATGGAGAAGAAATAAGTACGAATGAAGGGGAAGTGAGAAAAATGTAGAATATTGAAGAATTGAATTCTCCCCAAAACGTGAGCTTCTGTGCTATGTTAAATTTCAGAAACCAAACCAGTCCTTTCACGATTCAATGAGCTCTAATTGTGTAATAGGACCTGCATAAAAGCCAACCCTGCCAACAAAGCCTCAAGGTAGATGAAAAGATAAAATTAGATTCTAATTTGCCATCAATTTGGAAACAGAAGAATGTGTACAGAGTTATTTCAAGTGAAACGGCACTCGATTTGGTAAATAAGAAAATTACAATTACTAGGGGATCTCTGCTCTGCCTTGGTTCAGGTATGAAATGCTGGCTTCCTTCCTGCCTTCCCCCTGCCGCCCCAACCCTCTGCCCCACCCCTGGGCAGGGAGAGTCCCGCATGCTCATGACAGAGTGGATACCGCCGCCGTCGTGTTTGGTCTGGAGAGAACTTAAGCCCCTGCCTTAGACAGATTTGATTCTCTCCTTCCTTTCTTCCATGGCTTCCAGCAGACCAACAATTTATCTAATTAAGGAATCATTATTAATTATTTTTAAGTGTGATATGGGATTTGGGTTATTATTATTATTGTTGTTAAGAAAGGTCTTGCTCTGTTGTCTGGGCTAGGGTGCAGTGGCTTGATCATAGCTTGCTGCAACCTCAAACTCCTGGGCTCAAGCGATCCTCCTGCCTCAGCCTCCCAAGTACTTGGGACTACAGGTGCATACCACCATGCCTGGCTGATTTTCAACTTTTTTTTTATAGAGATGGGGTCTTATTCTTGCTCAGGTTGGTCTTGAACTCCTGGCCTCAACAAATCCTCCTGCCTTGGCCTCCCAAGGTTATTATTTTTTTAAAGATACATAGTGGAGTCTTACAGAGGAAATGGCATAATGTCTGGGATTTGCTTCAAAACAATACAAGGGGTTGAGGAAAGGGGGTGACCAACCCCGAGCCGATAATTGTTGAAACTGAGCATTGGGCACATGGTTGTTTATTATACTCTCTATTTTTGTATATATTTAAAATTTTTCATAACAAAAGAAACTATTTTTAAAGTTTATCTACAAGATGCCATCTTTATAAAACTCCTTTGGGTAGTCTTAATGCCACTTGAGTGTCGATAATAAGATCTAATAATTATGTGACACCATGTTAAGTTCTTTCCACACTTTATCTTAGCTCATCCTCTCAACAAGCCTGGGATTGGTATTGACATCCTGACATCACAGATGAAGGAACTGAGATACAGAGAGGCTAAGAGAACTTGACCAAGGCTCTAAAGCAAGAAGCGACAGAGTGAGGGGTGAAATCAGATCTGGCTAACGTCAGGGCCCAAAGGGTACTATATAATCACGATTGTATTATTCTTCACTTGTAATAGTCATTCCATAAAGGGATAGAATTATGTCAAAGAAGATTTGACCATTCACTCTTCTACTTGTTTATTCACTGAAACAAATGTCGATTAAGAATCTATCTGCTGTGTGCCAGGTGCTGTGCTAGGCATCGGGATGCAGACATGAACAAGATGGCAGAGTCAGGCCCCCTGCAGCCGGCGTCATTTTCTTCATTCAGGTCTTGGCAGCAAAGGCCACATGTTCCTTATCCTCCTTCAGAAAAGTGTTTAAAAACTAGCTTTCGATATTACTTTGGGGGTGTCCGTCCAAGAGGAGTCGGATCGATTATGCTTCTGCTCCAGGCTCTTTCCCCAGTTCTATGATTTGGTAAGCAGAGGGGCATCTTTTAAAAGTCTCATCTTGAATTATAACTTGAACACCAGTTTCTCTCCCTCAGACCTATGGAAAAACTATATACCTGTAGTACCAGCAGCTGGGAAATTATTTGCTCTTTCTCATTCACTGGGCCCTCAATAAGCCACTGAGTGATACCGATGGCCTTTAGGCAGTTCTGCATTCTGGAAGTAATTGGTATGTGATTCAAAATAGTTTGTGAACTAGAATTCAGAAAACAAAAGGGAACTTCATTATTAAAATACAGGTAATAAACTCAATGGCTAATCTGGGAAAGTTTAGTATTGATTAATTTTTGGGCTACGAACACAAATACATTATTTACAATCTCCATTCAGAGGACTTAGGGCTTCATTAAATTAGCCTTTTCTACTCTTCACCCTTATTTTTCTGGATAAAAGATGCTACTAATTTTGCTTTGTTTGTTCTTGACCAAGGTCTTTCACTGACCTTGAAACCCCTATTGGGCAGCATCAATCATTATGCCAGTGTACTAGCGTATTCATTGTTTGGACCCTGGAAAGATCTTGATGGTGTAATAAGAATCCAACCAATGTTCATCTCCTCCATTGCACCTTCTTAGGTCCCTGCTACCATCACCTCTTGCATGGGCTGTGGCCACAGCCTCTTTACTGGTCTCCCTGTCTCCGCCACTGTCTTCTGCAT